AGGTTCTTACCCACGAAAGCTTATGCTCCCAATACTTCTGTTAGTCTCAAAGGTGCCACAGGACCCTCTGTTGCTTTTTACAGATTCAGACTAACACGGCTACCCCTCTGATACTTAGGGCAGTCGTTCTCAACCAGGGATCCGGGGCCCCTGGGGGGGCCATGAGTAGGTTTCAGGGGTCCATCAAGCAGGGCCAGCGTTAGACCTGCTGGGCCCAAGGCAGAAAGCCAAAGCCCGACTGCATGGGGCTGATGCCCAGGGTCCTGAGCTCTGCCACCTGGGGCTGAAGCCGAAGTTTAAGCATCATAGCTTTGCGGGGGCCGCTGTGACATGGGTCCCCAGGCAATTGCCCTGCTTGCTACCCCCTAATGCCAGCTCTGGCTTTTATATGCAGAGAACCAGTTGTTGTGGCATAGGTGGGCTGTGGAGCAGGAGCAGCGGAAGCGCCCTGAAAGTGGGGGGGCCATGGCGCCAAGACCGTGGCCCCGCCCCTCCCCACCCAACCCCTTCTCCCTGAGCCTCCGCACTACCTCTTCCCCCAAAGCCCCGCTCCCGTGGTTCTTCTTCCCCGTCCAAGACCCCACCTCCTGTTCGCTCCTCTTCATCCCCTCCCCCTCCCCTCGCCCTTACAGCCAGTAAAAAGTGTGGGGGGGTCATGGCCCCCTCTTCCAGCGCCCCTACCGTGAGGTTTTTATAGCACATGGGGCAGGGGGCACGCTCAGAAAGAAAAAGGTTCAGAATCCCTGACTTAGGGTATGTCTACACAGCCTGCAGCAGCAAGTGTCCCAGCCCAGGTTGATAGACTTGGGCTAGGAGGGCTTGGGCTAGCACTCTAAAAATAGCTGTATAGACAGTGCTTTTTACAAACTACAAACACTAACTGTATAAGCTACCACCAACAATTATCTAAGGCACTAGAATAGGAGGGAAAAAACCTGATCCAAAGGACTGGAGCAGTTCACTTCTATCTGGCGTAAGTAGCTGGAAGGAACTCAGGCAGTAGTGTGCCCACCGCCCCCTTATTTCACCCCACCCTCTGAATGTTCAAAGATGCTGAGGGGAGGGATAGGAGGAGGCACAGATGTGCTTTAACAGGCACTGTTTGGAGACGATTCTACCATTAGGCTTCACAACTCAACACATTACCCATAAGTGGGAATATGCAGGGCCGCTTCAAAAAGTGAGCGTAGTGGTTTCCTTCATAGTTTCACACCTTGTCCAAGTTATTATTAGAAAGAGAGGACAAAATAGCATCTGGACTATGACAACCCAGAATGCTTCTTAGCAACAGCTATTGCCAAAACAGGGAGACATTGTACCACACGTATGGTGCTGTATAAAATAGTTATTAGTCTCAGAAATTATAGGAAAGGGCAAAGCCATCATTAAAAGCTGTCTCAGAGGCCCAGTGTCAGAGCAAACCAGGACAAAAATAATTTGAGAACAGCGGTCCCCCAACATATAATTTGACATTGTCTGAGACAGACACACATACTGTATTCACAATATTACGGGAGGTGGTTTCCTTTTTATAAGTGGCATGATCAGCTTTAATGGCCTGGGCACAAGTAACAAATCTGGTTATGTTATCCCCCAAAAGACCTAATCTTATTAAGACAGGTGGGCCTGTGGGGAACAAGTGGTACTGTAGCGAGGGGGGAAGGCCTCCCTCCCAAATGAACGGAGGGATGGCTGCGACTGCCCCCTGGTGGGCAGAGCCGGGACACCCACACCCACCAGGCTGGAAGTAGAGGGGCGGGACAGGAACCGGAAGTATAAAAGGCAGGCCCCTCCAGCTCAGTTGGAGAGGAGCTGCCAGAGAAGAACATCTCTCCTCCGCTGCTGGAGTTCAGACCTGACAGCAACTGCTGTAGCATCCGAGATCTGGACGGACTGCCAGAGCTGCGGGTCACCGGAGACACCAAGGAATTGCTGGGGCTGCCGTTAACTGTTTATCCCAGCGAGACGGACGATGACCCCCAGGACCCAGAAGTGTAGGAAGTAACCCAGGGGAGCCAAATATAGTTCGGTTGTGTTGCTGACTGACAGCTGGCCAGCGTGTTGCAGCCAGATTTCCCCACTGACCTAGTGGCAGACCACTACGCCACTGTTAGGGCCCTGGGCTGGGACACGGTGGAGTTGGGTGGGCCCACATCTCCCTACCCCTGCCACCCTACCCCTGGGGTGGCAGCCTCCCCACCATAGGCCAAGAGGCTGCATTCGTTGGCGGTCCACCAGAGCCAGGACCCCCAACTGTTTGCTGCCCCGCCCTGTTTGCGCTTATTGCTCTGTCATGAATACAGACCAGAGCCTCCTGACTTTGCTGCCCTGTCCTGTCTGAGGGCCTGGACTAATAGACTCGTTACTGCTTTGTCCTGAACACAGGCCAGAGCCTCCAGACTTTGCTACCCTGCCCTGTTTGAGGGCCTGGCATATAGACTCATTATTGCTCTGTCCTGACTACAGACCAGAGCCTCCTGACTTCACTGCCCTGCCCTGTCTGAGGGCCTGGGCTCCTAGACTTGCTGTTTGAGGGTCTGAGCTAATAGACTCGTTACTGCTCTGTCCTGAATACCAGCCAGCAAAGAGTTTTACCCATTTTCTCTTTAACATTAACTCATCACTTCATTGTTTACATGAAGAAACACACCAGACTTCTTCAACTAATAAAACTAGAATTTAACAGCATGTTTCATCTGTCACTCAGACTTGGCTAAATTTAGGACAAGAGATTTCATTACTAAACAATGACCGTTTTAAATAAAAATATTTCTCTTAAAAGGGATATGGTTAACTTGATGTTTAGAAGATTAGTATGTAGTACCTGAGGGTACACTTCCCTAGAGTCCCTTAATAATATTTAGGATGTTATAACCATGTTTCAAATATCTCTCTCTCTCTTGCTCCCCTTTTGCTTTGAAATCCCTTACAAACAGGGGAAACTGATTATACATGGAGCGGTGACAACATACCAAGTAAAAAACCAAACAATGGTATTTTCCCCTCTTATTTCAATAAAATTTCAGAAAATAATGAGATTTTTAATATGACAATGTCCTTAATAGCTCTACCATTAAAAAGTGAATAAGCCACAAACTTCTACACAACATTTAACAAAAAAGCCAAAACCAAAGGACAGACCATGCAGAAGTTCCTACATTTTGATTTTTTTTTCCTTACCTGGAATGAATAAACAAAGTTAAGAACCTGTAGGGACAGCTTTCTACTGGAATGCAAGAGTTTTTGAAGGCTGTCAAAATGAAAAAAGGAAAAGCTGTAAAACATAGCATGTGTCTAAAAAAGTGCACATGTGTCAATGCATATTGATAGTGTAGTGGACTAGAATACCAGGCTCATGATCTTAAGAGCAGCTCTAGAGGTTCTTAACACCACTTGTTAAAATAAAACAGAATAATGTAATACTATCTTTGTATAAGAGGTAAATTGCCAGCTAAACTCCAACCCCCCATTCCCTGCTTTTAACTGCCTGGGTTTTGTTCCATTCAACAAGTGAATATCCAATTTCCTAAAGTTATTTATGTTTGTTACTATGACACAAAGGTGTGGTTGAAAGTTTTACTCAATATTTATAATGTACACGAAGCATGAGTAATATATTAAACTTAATTCTTGCTTCTTATGCTAGAGCGCTCTAGAAAGGCATGATATACAGTGGTAAGTTACTTCTTAAAATGCAAAACAGCAAAGGCTCCAATAAAGGTGACAAGCAACCTATTTACCTGTAAGAGCCTCACTGCAGAGGCCTATTAGGGCCACATCTTCAAGTGGCTGTAACACAGCCTCTAAAATTGTGCCCCTAAATCAGACAGTTTTTGCCAAAGAATACATGAACTATAATGAAAAGCCACCTTCAAAATGAGGAATAAAGATCAGTGGCCATCACTTAAGTCCATAAGTGCATAAGAATTGCCTTCCCAAAATCAAATGCAGTAAAGCTACTACATTATTAGCTCTTACGGAATTTGAGTTTTGCTAGTATTTTGATGATGAGAGGAAAGCTTGTGTAAAGGCTCTCTATGGCTACTTCCCTCTGCCCTGTCCCTCTACAAAGGACTGTATTTATCCACACATAGAGAAGCCACCATTAATTTGAGAAATATAATCTAATCGAAGGTGCTGCATTTCAGTGAAACAGTTGCAATTAAAATTGTCTGTCAGAGACCTCATTGAACAAGAGATGAAACAAATTACCATCAGAAATCCAATTTCTTATAGTCTGCAAACTAAAATAAAATTCCTTTCAAAAAACATTCTGCTATATTAATCAATTGCAATGTGAAGTTTAATCTACAATAAAGATAAATTGCAAGGCAAGATTTTAATTAGCCTAATCTCCGCTCACACACGATACATTATTGTATGATGCCCACGCTGACAATAGCAGCCAAATATTCCTAGGACTTGAGCTATAATTAATGAGCTATGGGAATGTATATTATAGCAAGTATCTTGGAGCCTAAAAGTGACTCCTACAATGTAACAACATGATATAGTACTACAGTTTCAACTTTAATTTACTGCATTTCCAAAGCACAGATAAGTTCTGCACACAATGGCTGTGGCAAAAGAAACCTCACCTTTCTTTTCTACATAGTCCATGGGTAGCAATTTTTCTGCAGACTTTCCGGTTTAATTCAGAGCTAAAGAGTGGAATTCCAAAGCATAATTCCAGGGGAACCCATTCCAGTTCTGTTGTGGGTACTGCAAGATGTAAACAAGAGACCGAAAAGTTTACTGACGAGAACAGTAAATTGAAAGTCAGTAGCTAAACTGTACCAAAAGGTTCCTATCTCCCATTCTTTCTAAAACTTACACAATATTTACAAGATAGAACACTTCAAACAATTCTGAGCAAAAAAAAGATTCTTTAAGAGGTCTGTATTAAAACACATTAACAGTGTTGCATTATCTATATATCAATGTGTCAAATACATTAACTTTTTTTTTGTTAATGTGTACTATTTGCTTAAAAGACAGCACTAGAGGAGATGTTAGGCAATGCTTGTATTGTGTGTTTAGATACTTTAATACTAGATTTCTGACTAGACAAAAAAAATCTAAGGGAGATTTTATCTTCCAGTAAATAATATAGGTCATTTGTAAGATCTTACCTTCAGGGCTTTGCTTAGCTGCAGAATCCACAGATGTGTCTTCAATAACAATTTCAAATGATTCTGTGCTCCCATTTACATCAGATCCTGATGCCAATTCAAGATCACCTAAATTTAAGATATTTAATAATATTTAGTTGAACATTAGCTTAGTTACCTCCTGATGTATAGAATATACAAATTTTGCTCATATGTGATGTACTGATAATGAACCCAAAGTACCTCAAACTATTTACCTAAGGACAGTAATCCAGATGCATGGCATAAAGGAATAAAGAAAAACACAAGGATCTTATTTGGATCTGGTTTGGCACTAAGATAATTAAAGGAAACTAGGGATCTCCATCACTTCTACTTAAATACACAATTTTGTTTTCAAAATAAAACACTAAAGAGTTGATGTTTTAAGAGAAGATTTTGTTTTGTACTTATTTCTATATTCTACACAATAAATTTTTTAAACAAAAAACAAGGTGTATAGAGGGCACATGAATTCAAAGACATTGACCACCAAAGACAAATAGTCTTCACTGCTGACTAACCTTTTCCATCAGAAGCATCACTGAGCTTTCTGTTTGTGTGTCGACTGGAAGGATTCAACATGGTAACATATCCACAAAAATGCTGCAAATCCACTTTATCACTTAATATTCTCAATGCTTTATGAACGCCCATATTCACACGAGAGAAGTCTAGCAGAGAGAAAAAAGTACACAAGTTTGCCTTTGCATCACTGCAAGAAGGTAGTAGAGCAACCATAGCACCACTATAGTTAATATCCAGGAAGTCAGGGGTAGACTTCTGATGGTGGTTCATTTAGACATTTGGAGATTTCCCTTCCTTCTGTAGCTCCTAGGTTCAGATATCGTGATGGTGGGTATGGTATGGGAAACTAGGTAAATGGATACCTCCTTCTTCCCCATTCCAAAACCAACATAGTACCTTAAGATACAGTGGCAAGGAGGGACGAGAGGATGCAAGAATTAGTGGGAGCTATTTTCCACACACACACCCTTCAGCTAGATGGCAGAGTACAGCAATTTCAATGCTGGGCCTCACTGATGTCCATCTCTTCCACTAAGATGCGGTCTGGATCTTCCACAGTACTTTGGCTCAGAGTTTATGTGAGGTACTGCACATTATGAAGCACAAGATAATACTGCAGTGCTCCCAGGTTTTGAGTCTGGTCACGGAGGAACTACTGGGTTTTGACATCCAGCTGTTGATGCCAGAATGAGGGGGGGGAAGTGAGAAAGACCCTTCTGGCTTTCAGCTCAAAACTTTTCACCTGAGGATCAAGGTGAAAGGATGTGGGCCACTTTGCCAAAGACCAACAGGAGGAGAAGTGAATGTAGGAAATACCTCACTGTAAACCTAAACAAATAAACTGGATTTAGACTCAGATCAGGAAACTAATGGATAAGGTTTATGTTGGTTTGTATTTTGTCCAGCACCAATTTACAGTTTCAGGTGTTAAATCTCATACTTTGTACAGAGAGAGCTCAGCTTCGAAGTACAGTAGAACCTCAGAGTTACGGACACCTTGGGAATGGAGGTTGTCCGTAACGCTGAACAAGACGTTAAGGACTTCAGCCACTGGGAGGGGTGCAGCCTTACGGGTGTGTGTCAAAGCTTCTGACCCTCAGGAGCACCAGGGCTCAGGGCTTTAGACCTGGAGGGAGCACGGGGGCTCATGGCTGCAGTCCTGTGGCTTCGCTCCCTGTTTCAGCCTCGCAGGGGGCACCAGGATTCGGGGCTTCTGCCCCAGGAGGGACGCCAGGGCTTCAGCCCCACGGCTCTGTTCCTGGCTTCTGCCTGGGGGGGGAGGGGGCGCGCTGGGGCTCAAACTGGCACTTCCCTGTGGTGCTGAAGCCCCGAGCCCCAGCACCCCCCACGGGGCAGAAGCTGGGTACAGAGTTGTGGGACTGAAGCCCTGAGCCCCAGAGCTAAAGCCCCGAGGCAGTAAAGTATTTGCGGTCTGACTGACTACTTCTGGTTCCTCAGGGTATCCGGTTGACCGGAAAGTCCATAATTCTGGTGTTCGTATTTTTGAGGTTCTACTGTACATGACCATCATCTTCCTCTCCACCCCCTTTTATCTTCAAAATGATTGACTAAAATAAGTTTAAGAAGCACGTCACAATCAGTAAATTTCTGCTTCACTATAAGCAATTGTGCTTGTGCAGACCTTGAAAGTGAAGATTAGGAAATTTAAAAGGGACATCATTAACTTGGAGCTTTTTAAAAAACAAAAAAACAAAAACAAAAAATACCTGTGTTCAATTTTTTATTTTCTGTATTACAGTCGTGCCCCAGAGTAATAGTCAAGATAGTTTAGCTGAATGCACAATTAGGAGCTCACCAACTGCCTAGATGTTTTCATCTGGCAGTGTTTCATCTGGCATCACAGCAGTGATGAGTCTTGTGGAGAATAAGGTAGATTTAAAAGTTTTTTCAATAAACTTGCATGCGACACAAAGAGCAGCAAGGAGGTGCATGTACAAGCAATGATGGGCAATAAAAGCTGGTGTCGTCCCAGTAAGTTTATGCAGGGAAAGAAAGAGGGACAGTAAATTAATTGGAAGTTGGGGTAATGGTCACAATAAGACTATCTTCCTCTACATTTACAGCAGCACCCTGTGGACACTATATAAGGATCCCTTCAATTTTCTCTTCCAACTTTAATCAATAGCTAGTAACATTGTAATCCTCTGCTATTAGAAAGTGGGCATTAATGTATTTAGTTTAGCCTCGCCATACAAGGTAATTGTACAATAGCACTGAAGTCTTTGTTGCAGAATTCACATTAAAGACAGTTACCTCCTTGCTGTTCTGCTTCCTCAAATGGGAAAGGAATATGCATAGTTTCCCCCATTCCGTGCATGCCATGTCCCTGAACACCAAGAAATTAAAATCAGGGGAAAAAATCCATATATACTACTAGAGCTTGCATTGATTTCTTAGTTCTATTTGTTCTCTTCTGTTTAAGAAAGGCCAAATTGGTAACGCTAATGTAACAAACAAGTAGATCAGATAAGACGTTTATATACTGAAGATTGTGGTTAGTAATTTTAAACCAATATTGATGTAAGCAACTCAAAGTTAAAATGTAGTAAAAGAGGAACAGTTAGCTTTGTGTTTTACTAATCATAACTACAAAGTTTAGTGTCATTGTCAGTTTCAAAATGGCATCACAGCATGGAGACCCTCATCCACAGAAATGCTCAAGTAAGTGCTTTTCTTTTTCACTGAGGCTCTTACAGGTGAAGCATTTGGTGGTATATACAATATGAAAGTTACTTAATGTAATCCTAAACGCTCGCTTATTTGAGTTATTACTTTTTCTTTCAGTTGTTTTCTATATCTCAAAGATTTTAGCTAAACCACTGAAAGACAAAAAAGGATTCATACAAGTCATACTATGGTATTTATTTTACTAAAACGTTAAAGATAGATATACCTATATTTTTTTTTAAAAAACCCGATGTAGTAGTTAATGTCAGTAATTTCATTAAAGAACCCTTCATTTCAGATGTTTATGAAGAGCCATAGAAATGCTCTTCACACCAAAAGCAATAGTGAATTATGTTTAGCTGTTTTTGATTTAGATACAAGACCTAAATACCAAGTAGTCTCTCAAGAGGTGTTTTTCTTAGATGAGAACATTTTCAAACAGAACTACCTCTCATCACACACCATCTTGGCCTATAATCCTTAGTATTTTCCTTCACCTTGAAACTGCCTTCTCACATCTCTTACACCTGTGAATCTGCATCTCACCACTTTGCAATATTGCTCAGGTACATCACTTTCTTAGCCCCACTTATGCCAAAACCCTTGTCTATGGCCTCATCTTCTCTCATCTTTAATACTGCACCTCTCTTTTGGCCTCCCCAAGTCCCAGATGTCCAAGAGCCTTGGTTCAAAAGCCTTCTCATCAGTGACGCTGGAACACTTTTTATAGTGGGGGTGCTGAAATCAATCTAATGAAACTGCAAACCATGTGCACTCAAAAGCAATGAAAAAAAGTACAATTCCCACTCACACCACATGGGATTCTCAAGAATCATGAAATAATGCTAGCTTCCTTCTGACAGCATCAGCAAACTTTTCACAGTGAAACCTGGGGGTGCTGCAGCACCTGCCGCATCCCTAGTTCTCGCGCCTGTGCTTCTCATATGCCTCTCCTGACATCTGAATAACCTTCATGTATCTACCTCATCAAATCCATCTCACCTGAAAACCTCTTTTCTTTGTTAAAGTTGCTTAACTTATCCTCCTTTCCAGAGTTAATACAGTTAAAATAATAAGCAAAGAGTCTGGGATACAGTTTGTAGGAAAGTCAGTGAACAAAAAGTTGTGCAAGAGTACAAAAACACCCTAAAAGTTAGTACAAAATTGTACTAAGATACAAATATTATATGATCAGAAAGAATTTCAAATCAATAAAAAAAAATTTAGTATAGAACTTTGAAAAAACAGGCATCTACAAAGCACAATTGTGATGCATCCCATACTTGTTGACTAAATTTTAATACATGGATTACATTTTAATCCATATAACTGTATATGAATCACACAACGGTTTTGGTTCAACGTTTTAGTGACACAGTAATATACAAACTACACAATAAAGCCGGTCAAAATTTTTCTAAGTTATAAATTTTGAAAAAAAAAAAAAAAAAAAAATGGAAAGAGTTTTGAAAAAATGTCATTTTTTTCCAGTTTCATTCAGCCACCTTTTACATTACATAAGAAATTTTTTTTACTGAAATTAAGTACATTTTATCATATTCGTATAAAGTACCTGAATTAGAACGGCAGAATGTGTTAAAGCATCATTCAACATTGTCAATACGTTCGAAGTTAGGACTACTCCTGGGTCGTGACCCCAAGATGTTATTAGTAAGCGATCATAACCCTAAAAGAAACAAACAAAATAAAAAGCAGTAGTAATTGATTGTTCAACTATATAAAAGTGAAAAGCTAAATCATTAGGCTAATAGTTAAATGTTACAATTAGGAAATTACTGCCAGTATTTTCAGTAATATACCATCTTATATTGTGTCATAACATCACTTTTATTCCCATGCTCCTGCTAGTGATGGAGGCAGAATTGAGAGGTTTGGAGTTTCCTAACATGCTAGTACTAACAGGATATATCTGTCACAAGTCTTTGCAGCAATGTGCAGATACCACAATGTTCCTTGAGAAGGGGAGATGAAAATATTCTCATATAAATTTGGAAGGTAAGAATAAGTGGTGAGAAACTTTAAATTTGCCAGCAGTACTCAGAATGACAGTGGTGTTCTATCAATGTGGAGTATATCTTCAGAGAAAAATAATGACATGGAAGCACCTTCCTCTTCTCTAAAGATATGGTTGTGACAGAGTCTTGTTTCGGAAGATTAAAAAGTTCGAGGAATGTCTCCTGATAAAAAGTGTATATTTTTAACAAAATGACACTGCAACAAGCAATAGTGGAAACAAGACCAACAACATTTTTGCATGGTAACAAAAAAAGGGTGTGCAGATGGATAAGATGTCCCACAAAAAAATTTATTGGTATAGAAAACTTGAGAATTTTTGGTACAAGGAAAGTCTGCTATGTCAGCAAACCTCAAATCTGATTCCATAAGGAAATTTACAAGGCAGCTACATATAAACAAAAAAATCACACCACACATTTGCTAAGTATTGAAGCTTTGGGTTAGGCCTCACAGCTAGAATCAAGATCCAGTTTGTTAGTATTATAGAACCTCTTTGTGGACTGGGAATCCACACTTACCTGACCTTTTATTACTTTATTTTTGAGACATGACTTTTCCTCATGCCAATTTTAAAACAAAAAATAGGAATATAAAATGAGGGAGATAGAGCAAAACAAGATCTCTGTGTTTTCATTCCTGATGTCTACAAACACCGATGCCAGAAACTGTTGCTACTGTAGCTACATCAAAGGATGTATGCATCTCTCTGTCTATCTCCACTCACTCACAAGGTCAGTTTCTTAAATGTCTCAATTCTCTTTGGGAAGGGAGACATGAAGAATATATAGTCCTGTTCCTCAGTTTAAATTGATATTTGACCAGGAGGAGATGCTATAATTTTAGTTCAGCCAAGTTTGCCTTGGCCATTGCAACTTCCACCACCAGGATTGTGTTTTCCATTTAACATCTTTGACAAGGACAAAATGGTAGGAGAAAACTGCCATACCTCCTTTAGTCAATCCAAAGCAGTATGAACACAGTCATCCTAATTGCAGAAGACATCTCCAGGTGCTTCAAAAAAATCTCTGTTCTAGGACCCGAACAGTCTCCAGAATAAAGGTGATAGTCTTAACCATCTTCTCAAACTTTGAGAGGAGTGCGCGTGTGTGAGATTTTTATTTTGTTTTGTTTGGGGGATGAAGGAAGAAGAGAGATCTGATTCCCTAAGGTAGAATCTTTGCACTCTGGGGTAGAAGTCTAATCTTTCTCAGCAAAGATATGCTTGCTCCTCAGAGGAGGCTGCAGTAGCAGAAGACTTATGTGTCCAGATAGTACTCCTGAACAACCACCACCATCATCTAAAGTGTTTACTTCATACTAAGAGGAACTCCAGTATGATGCATTAAATTAAAGCTGGGGGAAGTAGCATCAAGTTTGCTTGAATGGCATTGATACAAACCGCAACAGAAGCAATGAACAGTTCCCTTGTTGGGAGAAAATTCAGATTCCATTTTGGAAGGGGGGGAGGGAAAAAAGGCATATAAAAACGTACCTGAAAAATATCTGGAAGTTTTCTAAGCCTTGTCCCTTTAGATAGCAATAGGGATGGTGGTCCTTGACCAGTAATATGGTAAATATACAATTTGAACCAAACTGAACTAACTTCTGGTATAGCTGGTCCAATATGCTGAAGAAAGATTAATCAAAAGATAAAGCATCATTTGAATTGCACCTATTACAAGTACAATTATAGGTTAGGAAAAAACTGCAGAACTTTGTTATTTTACTACAGTTTGGTACACTTAAACCATAACCCTTACAAGCAGATGGGACTGACCTCATGGCCAGTAGCTGCAACACCTCATTATTACATGGTGAATCCAAGTTTTAAGCTTCAAACTCACCTGTCCCTTCATTCCCTGGGTATAAACAGAAGATGGGAAGGACACTCTTGCTTGAAAGCTAGATTTGTTAAAGTTTGCTAAAGGTACAGTACATGCACAGCTATTGGACACTTGCTCAAACACAATGCTGTAAACAAGCTGTTCTATAGAATTTGGTTACCAAGTTGTTGACATTACTTTCCCTTTTAATTTATACTGCACAGTATGTTTTGCTATTCTAACTTTCACTGCAGAGGTCTGATATGTGAAGCTAAGTAATACACTAAGTAAATAAACTCAGGAAGCAAGATGCAGTAGCTTCACAGAGGATTATATAATATCATTTCCCTAAATTTTTGAAAGCTGATCCTCCTTCTGGAAAATTAAGCCTATGGCACCCCTTCTCCCACAGCTCTGGCATATGTTGTGAAAGGCGTATCCATCTTAGTTTATTTACCATTCAGGGTTGTTTTAGTTATTTATTTTTAATGAAAGCTGATAACCTGGAGAACACATGACAAGTCTTCTTACACCTTCCCCGCACTTAGTTCTTCAGGCACCCGCAGGGGGACATGCCCCAGCATTTGGGAAACATTGACAGAATGTATCATGTGAGGGCAAGTCAACACTTAAAACACTGTAGCACTTTAATGAAGATGCTCTAAGCCAGCAGTTCTCAAACTATGGGGTGGGCCTCCCAAGGGAGGTGCAGGTATGCGTCAAGGGAGGCAACGCTGTTTTCCTTTTTCTTTTCTTTTCTTTTTTAAATGAGCTCATGCTGTCAGCTCCAGGTGGCTGGGGCTCGTGCAGAAGGGCCGTGCATGCCTGGTAGGTGGGGATAAAGGGGACAGCTGGAATAGAGTGTGGTACTTTAGAGAATAAATTAAGGGCTTTATTACACCACCCTTATTGTTATGGCGCAGTACCTTACTATGTGCTACTCAACATGAATACAGGGTAGTGAATTAGGTTCTAAAATAGTATCTCTTCTGGAAGATGCAAAATATCTATTTTGTTTCCTGGCATTTACACTGGTAAGAGATTAGAAGACTTTATATCCAGAGGGCTCATAGTAAGGGAGTTCTAAGAACATGAATTCAAAATGTTAAACATATATATATATATATATATATATATATATATAATAATATATGTATTTAATTTAAAATTATATATATATATATATATATATATATATATATATATATATATATATGGGAACATCTGTCACAGAACTTTTTAACTAGAGAGATAATTACCATGCAGATATTTAGTAAATAAATTCAGCTTAATAATAAATATGCACATTATACATCACTAAATTCTGATTTTCATGAAACAACTGTAATATAATAATACTGTTTTACGTGCAAATCATTTAGAGCAAAAATTCTAATGAAGGTACTTTCTATGAAAAAGAGCCAAAGAAAACTTTTTGTTAGAAGTATTATTTCAAAAATGAAGTGCAATAATATCACAGACTCAGATTCCTTTCAAAGTGGATTTTCACCTGGGGGGTACAGCTGCTGATGGGTCGAATTTCATTGGTGAGTGGCGCCATGGAGACAAGTAGTATATAGTTTTTGTTTAGAACTCTACTGCAGGTTGCAGGATCCAAGCCCAGCAAACTCTCACATCGTAAGAGATCCAAAGGAAAACCTACATTAATAGCATCAGAAGACACTTTGAATACAGCTAGAAAAGGAACATACACAACCAGTAACAATTCTAACAACATATGAATCAGAAAATAATCCAGTTCTTTCCCTGAGATATGTTGGTTCTTCAGGCTGAAAGTAGAAGAGTCTAGTCCATCACTAGAATACGGAGATACACTATTTTTACAGACCTGATTTTCAGAGTTGAACTTTTAACATTAAGCAGCTTGGCTTTTGACTGTTTAAGCTAACTCAACATCTTAATCAGGTATTTTTGACTATGTTCTAGAAGATGTTTTATAACAAAACCATTAAAATATAAAGTTAAATTGGCATCTAGTCTGCTTTGCTCAGGAGAAAAAACATAGGCCAGAGAAAATGGAATACATAAAGAACTAGCTGCTATATTGCTTTTTACCCAATGCTACGGAGATGGCCAATGCAAATGTTTTGGCCAGCAAAGGATTATGTCTAGCACCTGGAATCCTGGAAGTATTCAAGAATACCCTGACATACTGATGTACTACTTAACTACTACAAAGCAGTATTTCAAATCTATGCCAACTTGGTCTCTGATAGAGAAGTATAACTTATACCTCACTGCCTACTTGACCATATGAAGAAAAGTTTCCTACTCAGTGAATTACAAGATTCAATATCTAATATTAAAGAAAAATGGTTACCTGTTCTTCAAGGTGTGGGTGCAGACATGTATTCCACTCAGATGTGAGTGCGTGACCAATGCACTGAAGCCAAAGAACTTTGCCTAACTGTACCCACAGAGGTGGTACTTGTGCCCTATGGCCATTAGCCCCTCCCCTGGCAACCTACCCCTCCATAGTTCCATCACACCGAATGTCAAGAGCAGAGACTTCGATGCAGAGGGAAGGGAGTGTGGGTTGTGAAATACATCTCAAAGAACAACAATTACAGAACTGAAAAGTAGCCATTTTTTATGTCAGTGGTTGTAGATGTGTATTCCACTCAGGCAACTCACAAGCAGTAATCAGAGGTAGGACTTGGAGTCTATTTAAATAATGATTGTAGCACTGCCTTCACAAAGTTTGTATCTGACAGAGATGCTGCAGTAACTAAATAATGTTTGGTAAAAGTACATACATAACCCCATATCACAGCCCAACAAATATCCAATATTGAAACATTGCTGAAAAATGCAATTGATAACACTTGGGCTCTCGTCAAATGAGCCCATAATGTCTGTGGGGATGCAGACTGTGCTACTCCATAAGCTGTAGTAATGCAGGAAGTTATCCATCTGGAAATAATCTCCACAGAAACCACCTGATCCTTCATTCAATACGCACAGGAAATAAGTCGTCAAGGAAATGTCCGAAAAGGCTGTCCTCTCTAGGTAAAATGCCAAGCACTGTCTCACATCCAACATGTGAAGTCATTGTTCATGTGCATTTGAATGCAGTTTAGGAAAGAACACTGGTAAGTAAATCACTTGGTTAAGGTGAAGCTGTGAAACAATTTTTGACAAAAATTTTGGATGTGGCCCCAGCCACACTTAGTCTTTGAAAAACTGTGTATACGAGGGCTCCAGTAATAAAGCCTGCAGCTTATTCTCTTTGTAGATGTTATTGCAACAAGGAAAGCTGCCTTCTGGCACAGAAAGCGACTGAGAAACGTTACCAGAGGTTCAAACAGAGGCCCCATCAGGGCAGCTAAACGTATATTATGGTACCACAAGGGAACTGACCCTTTTACAGGTGGGTGGAGATGAATGACTCTTCTCAGAAATCCCACTACCATGGAGTTAATAAAAACTGACTTCCCTTAGATGGGCAAATGAAAATGCTGAGATAATTGCTAAGTGAACCCTCAATGAACTAATAGAAAGACCAGAAGATTGAAGGCATAACAGGTACTCCAAAATGTCCTGAATATAGGGCAGTAGCAGCTGAACTCCCCGAGCTAGCAATCAAACTGAAAATCATTTCCACTTGGCCAAATAGTAGCCCTAGAAGATGGCTTCCTACTCTTAAGCCACACTTGTTGAACAGCTTCCAAGTATCATTCCTCCTCTTCATCAAACCATGCAGCATACACACGGCGAGGTGCAGGCTGCTCAATATTGGATGCCAAATCTGACAATGGTCAGTAGGTCAGGATAAAGAGATATGAGCAGTTGAGGAAATCAGAGAACCAGCGCTGCCTTGACCAAGCTGGTGCAATGAGAATCAGTCTAGCATGATCCAACATCAGTTTGAAAACAACCTGCGAGATGACTAAAATCCCAAGGAAAGGCATACATGAGTGCCAATCCCCAAATTCAGGTGGAAGGCTTCTGTCAAGTATCTTGGACTGAGACCCATCTGGGAACAAAATTAATGGGCACTTCTTGCTGTCTTTTGTTGCAAACAGGTTGATAGTTGGAATGCCCCATTCTCCGAAGATGGACCTTAACACACTGTTCTTCAGAGAAAACTCATGATTCTGAGAAAACACTTTGCTGGGGTGATCACATAAGCAATTCCTATCCCCCAGTAGGTGAGCTGCTGTGGGTATGATGTTCTCTCGGATGCAAAACTGCCAAAACTTTACTACCTTCTGACAAAGCTGGTTGGAGTGAGCACCCGTTTGTTCACATAGTACACCCCGGTGGTATTGTCAGTGAGTATATGAACCTCTGTGTCTGATGTGTGACCAAAAGGCCCAGCATGCATTGTAAATGGCTCAGTGCTACAGCACGTTGATAGGAAGGGAATATTCCTATCCGTCCACAGTCCATGAACTTTCAAATATCTCCAGATATGTTCCCCAACCTATTGCAGAGGGATCACTAATGTTATGATCCGTGGAGAACAGATGAAGGAAAAACCCCTGCAAACATTGATTTGGTTCCTCCACCACTTGATGGACTGCAAGATGGGTGGCAGCACTCGCACCAGGGTGTCCAGCTACTGAAAATGTGGATGATACACCAGCTTAAGTCAGACCTGAAGAGGACGAAGATGTAGTCTTGTATCCTGGACCATGTAAGTACACGTTGCCATATGATCCAATAACTTCAAACATACCCAAATCATGGCACAAGGGTAAACTTGGAGAGACAGAGAGAGACAACAATTATCTGAAATCGTTCCGTTGGCAGTAACACCCTTACACTCGTACAATCTAGTTCGGCCCCAATGAACTAAGTTTTGTGTGGTACTAAAGTTGATTTTGTTTTATTTATTATTAGACCTAGATGATTAAAAAGATGCAGAATGAACCGGACATAGCTGAGCAGTTGGTCTCTGGACTTGCCCCTCACCAACCAATTGTGCAGGTAGGGAATCACATGTATTCCTCTTCTCCTGGGATGTGCTGCTACTACAGCCATGCATTTGGTAAAAACTCAAGGAGCTGAGGAGACGCTAAAGGGGATGTCTTGATAATGCTGCCCCTGCAACTACAAATCTCAGAAACTGCCTATGGCTTGGGAAAAACTGACACACTGAAACAGTCATCTTCAACATCTAGGGCATCAAACTAGTCGTTTGGGGGAGGATAATAGCTAGGGTAATCATGTGGAATCTCATGTACTTGATGCACCTGTTGAGACCCCTAAGATCAAGAATAGGTCTCAGGAAATACTGCGAGTAGAATCTTTTCCCCTGATATTGCAGAGGGACTTCTTCTATGGCCCCCAAATCCTGCAGAGTCCACAGCTGCTGGGGGTGCAGTGACTTGTGAGAGGGGTCCCTGAAAAGGGATAGGGTGGGGGAGGGGGCACGATGTGGGAAATGAAGAGAAATTGAATGGCATAACCTGATTCCACAGTGCTGAAGACACATTTGTCTGTGGTCATAGCTTCCCAAGCACTGTGGAAGTGTGAAAGGCCATCCCCGAAAAGCTGCAAGTTCACAACTGGAATGCTGCTCTTGATCTGACAGTCAAAATTGCTGCTTGCCAAAAGTTGAAGGAGGACAGACTGACCGATTAAAAGTTAGACCCAGGTGGTCTTCTCCTGTATGATTTATTCCCCTTTCTGGAATGGTCTTTCTGTCTGGCCCGATATGGTGTCTGCCAGAAATACCGCTGAGACAGGTATTGCTGGTGCTAACCGGTAAAATACCTTTTGGTGGCTGGGGTATAAATCCCCAGCAAATGCATGAGTCCTTAAATGAATGCAAAGTCTCATCTGTTTTGTCAAAGAACAAAATATGACAACCAAAGGCTTTTTGCACTTTGCTACAGAATTCACAAAATCGTATTTTGACAGCAGTGGCCAGTGATTTGCAATGCGCATTTGCAAGGCAGAGGCTAACAAATTTTCTCCTCAGGAGATTCATCCTCTCAGCCTCTTTCATCCTTGGGTGTGGATTTGTATCTCTGTTGTTGCAACCTCTCATTAGCTGCTGTTACAAGAACAGAGTTAGGGGCAGGATGAGATTGAACACACTCAAACACCTGCATGGGAACATAACACTTGTCCTTATGTTTTGCTGTAGAAGACAAGGAAGCCGGGGTATTCCAAAAAGTCTTGGCAGGTTCTAACAATGCTTCATGTAAAGGGAAAACTACACTCCTCGTGCCAAGGACTGAATAATGTCAATTTGTGTGTATTTTCTTGCACAAACTCCATTTGAATACCCATTGCTGAAACCATTCATCTGAGAAGCTCCTAATGGAGCTTAAAATCTTCAGGCACTGTGAGGAAGACTCCAGTACCATGGAGTCATCCAGTGATGAGGGTGGGATAGAAGTGGAGCCATTGGAACCTTCTGCTCTAATACATGCTCCTGTATGAATGGTTCAGTCTGCACCTGCTCCAAGGAAGCTGCCTCCATTTGAGTCTGCAATGTCTGTAAAGAGCTGAGCAGATGATACTACAGGTTGGTTGGGAAACCTAACCCTGGAGTGAGTCAAAGACCAGGACTTTACTGAATGTGGAACATCCCACAGAGCTACTGGGCATAGGGATTTGGCACTGATGGCCAGTATGCACTAGGCCAAGAGCTCATCTCTAATGTAGGAACAGTGGCAATCCTGGTACCCATCGTGGTCCATAGGAGTTCTCCACCATCTCCTAGAAGTGTGTCTCAAGCACGAGGGAGAGGGAGAAGATGTCCCTAAGTTTGATGAAGCTTCAAAGTCATCAGAAGGTAACAGGGGAGCCACTCTGCATGGAGTGAACAAACATCGTGCCTCATCTGAGACCCAATACGCTGGCTGTATTGGCATTGAGGTAGGAAAAGAAGTCAGCACCCTGAGGACTGGCCAGCATATCACATTCCCATTTGGTACTAACTCTGAAGATAGCACAGACACCAGGGTCAGTACTCATTCTAAAGATGTGGTCTGTACCACAGTCATCATCGGTGCCAAAGATGGCAACAGTTCCAACGGACCACTCAGTACTGATAAGAAGGCAGTGCTCAATTGCCTACTGTGAGCGTTAGGCAATGCCGGCAACTGGGATGTCTTTGCCATCTCACCAGGCAGCACTGCCCATATGAATGGTTTCTGGGCTACTGAATGCTCCTGAGTAATTAGAGAACCAGGAACAGTGAGAGGCAAAGCAAGTCTGACACTGCCTGGTATTCTAGTAGCAGGGAAACAGTCAATGCTGACATTGTCGGTACCAGCATCTCGTGGACGGCATCGGAGTCAACAGTACAGTGTTGAACTGATGCTACCTTGGAAACAGAGCAGATAGCCAAGCTCCATCTCACATCCTGGTAGATCAGTCCACACTACTCCTGGAAGAGAAGGATGAGAGCTCTGAAGTAGCTGCAGTCCATTTTGTGAGACCTTTTTCTCAGAGGACCCAAGGAAGGAGAATGATCTGTCTTCCTCCTGCGAGAGGCATCAGAGTCTGGCTGAGGAACATAAGCTCGCTCCAGCTCTGAAGTTGTTTGAGAGGCCGGACGATCTGTGGAGGTCCCTTGTACCAAAGTGGGCTTCATAGCCGGCACTCAAGTGCTGCTTGAGTCTCAAGTCCATTGCCACCTGCATTCTTTTTTTAAGACTCGCAGATGGAGCACCTTTCTCTAATGTACCTTTCTCCTAGCCACAATAAACACCGCATGTGGGGATCACTATTGGGAATAGCTGCCCCACATAATGGACAGTGTTTGAATGCTGGTGACAGCATCCCATCAGGATGACAAGTTAATCTAACTATTCTTAGCTAATACTAGTTAACTATTTATAACAAAAATTCAAAAGACTGAGATAAGAAACAGCATGTGGGAAATACAACATGAAATGCTCCAACTCTAGTTGTGGGTAGTGAGAAGGAATGGAGGGGGTCGGGTGACACTACCCTTAAATAGCCAGGGGATGGGCTAATGGCCACAGGACGCAAGCTCTGCCCCTACGGGTACCACTATGTAAAGTTCTCTGGCGTCGGAGCACTAGGTGCATACGCATACACACTCAAAGAAGAACTAAATGTCTGCTACCAATCCATATTACACTTTTTCTATTATCTGCCATTATACCACAGTATAAAAGATACTTGGGCCAAGTATATTGGTGTAAATCTGGTGAAATACTCAAGATAGCAGAGCAGTACTTAGTTCACTTGCTTCCAAACAATTCTCTCTAGAGAATAGAGTAATACAGCTGAATAGTATGACCCTGCCTTCCAATGACCTAAACCAGGGAGGTGCTGAGCCCCCAAATATCCCAACTATGATTAGCATGGAGAATGCTTAGCACCTTGTAGGATCAAGCTCTTATTTGTTAACACAAAACAAACAAAAAAATCAACCTTACTGATAGATTTAGTACTCACAGAATTGCAAATTCGGGGTATATTTCAGGCCCACAGAGATACTGAACTAGCAGCAAGAAAAAAGTTTTGGGGGCTCATCTTGACGATGGATTTTTGCAGTGAAGCATGTTTGGAATTTTTTTGAGGGGAGGGAGATTTTCACAGGCATAAAGGGCAACTAGGCATTCAGCGTGTGTGTGTGTGTGTGTGTGAGTGTGTGAGAGAGAGAGAGAGAGAGAGAGAGAGAGAGAGGGGTGGGGGCAATGGAGAGTTGTGCTGAACTCCCCTCTGTGCCTTTGAAATATCTCCACTTAGTACATTTAGTCATGCAGAAATATTCCTCCTTTACTATCCTTGAAAGTTTGTGGTTTGGAACTAGCTCCCTCCCCCACCAGCCCAGTTTGTCCTTGGTCTTGCAGTGAAATCAATCTAGTGTTTCGAACACCAATCTACTGCCATGTAAGTGACTGATGTGTAAAATATGACAAGGATGGATCACTGGAGGCTCAAAACAGGCAAGAGTGGACTGTAAGGCCCAATTTCAGGAAAGCAGCCATTCAGAAAGGGCACTTAGTGAGAAAACTCTTTTTAAAGAGAACACATGATAATCAAACTTAACTCCGAGAGATTGGACAGTTTTCCCAAAACAGTAACTTTCACTGTACCATTATTTGGATGTTCAGGTTGTGCAGCTTGTGCCACTAGGTCCTTGTTATGCCGCAAAAACAGTATTGTGTTTCTCAAAGTAAGTGCATGATCGAAGTATCTTTGTGCCTCCCCTTCACCTGTGCTTTGAACCTAAACAAAAAATAATATGAATGTGTATGTTGTATACTGTTTCTCTAAATACCAGTTCCACAAATACTAGATTAAGAAGTTATTACAAACATTCTACAGTCAGTATTTAAAAGGTGCAATTGCCTTGAAGTTTTTCAGCAAGAATGATCCACAGCAACCATCAGGTTAAGTGAAAGCTGGCAAAGCTTGTCAAATACTGTAATGTTAAGTATATTAGCGTGACATTAAAACTGGGGGAAGGAGAGGAATCCCAAAAAATATATCAAACAACTTCAGTTGTACTGTATCATCATTGTTCAATATAAAACTTACCACTTAAGGGGCTTCTGTGAAAGGATGCTATAATAAAGTCATAGCAATTACAGAAAAAAATGTACAAGTATACAACTGTACAGTCATCTTAAGGAATTGGTTGGTTTGTTTAAAATTATGGTAAATATAAGATTTAAAGGTTTAAAAAAATTAAATTTTAAAACAACAGATCTGGAAAATTATGGTTTGCAAATTCCAATCTTTAATGACCAAGTTTCAAAAGCATGTGCATGCAAAAGTGTATGCACATTTTTGAGATACCCAAATCCAGCACACAAAAAACCAATGCTAGCACACAAGTTAGTGGTTGTGTGCACATGTATCTACAGATGCATGCACACAAGGGTTTGTGAGGTTTAGTGTATTTGCATATCTTCACTTAGCGATTGCACTTTTATACATGCACTTCTGATAATGTGGCCTTAAAAAAAAACCAGTCATTACTGGCACAGACATACAGGATAGTCTCCATTTTAATGGGACATGTGTTCCAACCACTATTATTATGTACAAAGAGGGGTAACAAGAAGCTCCTAAATCAAAAGCACAAGACCAAAAATACATATCAAATACTGATAGTGTAAAACACACACACACACACACACACACACACACACACACACACACACACACA